GTTTTCTTCGATCGTTGTTGGAGTGACATCTACGGGAAGGTTTGTAGGTGATGCTTCGATGTCCGGTGGATCCATTGGAGCTGGTCTATTCACCAGTTCCTCGAAGTATTCTACTCATCTCTTTCTCTGTTCTTGAACCTCGGCAATTGTCTTGCTTTCTTTGTCCTTAACCTGTCTCTCTCGTTTATTATATTTCCCTCCTAGTTTCTTCGTCGCGTCATATAGTTGTTTCATATTTCCCTCTCTTGCAGCTTTTTCCACCGTCGTTGTTAGTTCTTCAATGTATTTCTGCTTGTCGGCTTTAATGCTCTTCTTCAATTGCTTGTTTGCTTCTGTGTGTCTTGACTTTCTCTGCTCGTGTTCTGCTGTTTTTAATTGCTGTGTTTTTGTTCTTCCTTTCTTGAATCTTGTCCAGGATTTCCATAGAGATTCATTCCTTATGATGATGCCTCTTGAGGCCCAGAACCTCCTGATATGTTGATGTCAATGCTCTGATACCATTCCAGTTGTCCTACATAGTGGTTTCTTCTTCTTATAGTAGATCTTGTAGGGCTTGGAACATTTTGTTGAGAGCTGTTTTGAATTGGTTGAGTTTGTGAATATCTCGAAGGAAGGCTGTATTGGACCGTTTGTCCAGTGCTTCTTCAGCTTCAATGTAATCAAATTTTTACTGAGATCATGAACCAATCAATGTTAAACCACCATTGAAAACCTGGAAGTAGTGGATGGCCATTTCGTCTAAGTATGGGACTGCTCATCAGTGCACATTCACGATCCCTTACGCCGGACTCGAACCCAAGACCTCTGGTCTCGCGTGCGAACGTTCAACCTCTGTACCTCTGGGCATGGATCCAACGGTGTTAATGTCTATTTTCAACCAATCTACTATCTTCAGTTGTCTTCAGTGGGTAACTGCCCTACACTCAACACGGTTGAACTCCACTGTTTACGGCTTCTCCGAGACTTACTTCTCAAAGCTAGTCACTAGTGAGCAAATGATAATTATCATGATGTCAATAAAAATCCAACAACCTTCACAACATGCTGGTACTTTTATCACGTAATCAAATGAAAGTGGTATAGTGGACAACCCTGAAGAACATTATTTGAGGCTGGCTATACGGTCCTACTCGACTAGTAGGTTGCGATATGAGTGATTATATAATTATTTAGTACGCCTTTTAGTGAGAAACGCTTCCTCAGAACCACTCCGTCAACAGAATCGAACGCCGTCTTGAAGTCAACTATACTCAGGTGTCATTATCTCAATGTTCTAGGATTTGATTAATGATCAGTTATCTTGCCATCAAAATTCGATCGACTTTCTTACTAGCTAGATAACTTTTGCAAATTAAGAACAATCATAAACTTCTACAACGTGTAGTTTTTCATCCTGGACTTATCTATTTTATTGTCAAATATGTTATATCAAACGTCAATCATCTATTTTACACCTATCTTTAATAGTTTAGAATATCCCCATAGACAATTCAAAAGTTTTAAGCACATAATTATTGTATTTCACAATCAAAATAAAGTATGTATGTGTATACATCTTGTTGTGCTAATGAAGTATGGCAAGTTGGACCGATGCACAGATATGCCCGATCCTACGTTGTAGCTGACTGACTGTATATCTTTCTGTCTACCAACTGATTCTTTCTTTTTGTACTATATGCTTATATACAATCTTTCTTTTATATATTACTACCATTGAAGAAACTACTTCTATGAATTTGGTGTTTATCTTGTTGTACTAATGAGGTATGGCAACTTGGACCGATACATATATGTGCCCATTCCTACGTTGTAGCTGACTTAATGTATGTGTATAAATTATCAGTGAACTATAGAAAATATTTTCCTTAAAAAAGAAAACTGGATTCTTTTTGCATCATTTACACTTTCATTTTCTTTCTTTCTTTAAAAAAAAAACAAAACAAAACTTGTTCTCAAGGTTCATCCACTTGTTGGTAGTCGTAAACCATCAGTTAAATCTATCTCAGGTACCAATCATCATCATCATCATGATTCATCGACCAAACTTGCCAATCAATCATCATTAACTAATTCAACAACATATGGATTAAATAATTCACGCAAAAATAATACACGTCAACGTGATCGTGTAAAATCAAGGAAATGAGTATTATTCATTTCTATATAACATTGTTATATTTGTATATTGAATACAACTTTCTCATTATTTATATCATTGAAATGTAGTATGTTTTGTTAGTTATTCTTACGACTCAACTTACATGCTTATTTCGATACATTTCTAAACTGTTCAAATTCTTCATGTACATTATTATAGGCCCTTAAATATATATATCCCTCATAAAGTTGATTTTATTTATTTGAACACATAAATATTGGTACAAGAGGGCACCAAATGTATATGCGCCACGCAAAACAATAAGAATTCGAAGAGAAAAAAAAGAACAATAACGAATAGATTAGTATAATAATAATAATGAGGGAAACGGAAAAGTACAATCAGAAGAAATCTTTCGGTTAAAGAAGAAACAACCATTTTTTTGAAGAAAGCGAAAGGTCATAGGATCGCCACTGGTTTCTATTCTGAGCGATATCTGATAACGTCTCTAGCCACTGTGTCGCACTATCTCTAAGACCCCAGCCAGGGAGTCGTGAAGGACCAACACAAGTCAGCGCTTTGCAGCTTTCTTTCATATCCTGACACCGTGTCATACACTGGCCACCTCCCCGCTTCTTCCAAGCAGTCCCAGAGTCGGCAAATAATGCACAACGTGGGATTCTCTGGGACGACATTCGTAGAACATGTCCGGGCCACCGAAGTCGGTGTTTCAAGATGGTGACACCAATATGGAAAATACTTTTCTTGCTTCGATTAACAGTCAAACGATTCACATTATAAAGTTGATAATAAGAATAATCATTTTTAATAAATGATAGAAATCGTTTTTCACATACTATTTCGTAGTATGAATTAGAGGAAATCAAGCATTAAAAGGTGATTTTGCATTACGTAGATGTGATGTTTATCCATTTGATAAGTCTACATGATATAATACCAACCACTTTCTTCTGGTTTGTGTAATAATGAATCAATCGAAAAACAAAATATATCACCGATATTCTTAGAAAAGTTTCCATTACTGACTGACTTCAACTAATATAAAGTTATTGAAAGCTAATAGCCATTGGAGAATCAACGGTGACCTTTATTGCATCAAAGAAATGAATTGAGTAGTGTAAAGTTCATGGTTTTGAATGTAAATTTCAAAATGTTCTGTGTTATCAAGACGTTTTGTAAAGATTAGACGTGCTATTTTAGAATAATATTACTTTGTTATGATTCAAAACTCATTCGATAATACACTTAAAACATTTGACCACACAGCAACGCAGTTAAGGAATAACAATCTGTATATTTCAGTCATAAGTGATACAAGCGAGAGTAACAAATAATTAGTGATAAATTTGAAATCCTAAAATAAATGAGACTTGTGGATCAAACAAACGCCTAGAAATATGATGGTAGTCTCTAAAGTTACGCCTCCACATTATTTATGCGATTATATCTAAACTGACATCTGTTGACTCAAAGAGGTATATGTCCAACGATGTAGTCTAACACTAATTACGGCTGATGTGTCTTACTTCACTGAACCAATATCTTTGAAAGCGTACTGCTGTATCGAGAAATAGCTTATTTAGAGTAACCGGCTTGAAGGATTTTAATTTTTATAACTAAGAGCACTGACTGTAGATAACTCCTCAAATGACCTTCGTATGCTAAGCTTACTGCTTAAATGTCGACAGCACTCCCAAATTTCAGAAACTGGGTCGATTATTGTAACTTTATTGGCTTAAGCTCGATGTACTAATAATAACAATGTAGCTCAATTACAAAGTGTAATTTTATGTTTCTGACCACGATTCAGACTGTGACTACAAATAATAGTATCTGCCGTGCAAAACAAAACGAAGATGGCTTGGAATATATGGGCTAAAATCTTTACGTTTATAACAACTACGTCATTGCAGTATAGTCTTTTCCTATCGATATTAAAGATAAGACACTAATTGCATCATAAATACAACGTGAAATCCTGAACTAACTGATTTTCAACATTTTCTACTTCTGACGCTCAGCGAATACGATACAAAGGAATTGTTAGACATAAATAATAAGAAAATTTTGTTTACAAATAATAATGGTAATCTACATGCTAAAGTACTATAATGTAAATATTAACGCGAATTAATTGGTACAAATTTATTTGAACATACAAAGAAGCACTGGATACATACGCGCCACTCAATTCACTTGATTTGTGTGCGGGTTATGATAGTACCCGGATGCAAGTGATTTTCTTAGGAGCCACACCTGGAGCCTTCGACCTAAAGGTCTCATCTACAAGATAGTGGAACAACATTAGAAGATGCAGTTCCACGGTGGCCGATGACCAACAACAGGTCCATACACCATTTGTTCCTTCAGGATCCTGAGGCTCATGTGCACCATTGGTTTGGAATCAGGGTTTTCCAACCCCCCTAGGTGGACTCACCGTGTCCACCAACCTGGCTAAAGCGCCGGACACTCGCTCTCCGTCCTCTCAATTTTATAAACGACACCTCCGCCACGAAAAAGCAGTGAGTAGGACTTCCCTGGCAGTGACTGTATACGCGTGGCTATTTGAGAGCATTTCGAGAGAGAAAGCTGGCTTTCCCTACCCTCAGTCTTACCAGAGCATTTGGAGGCCTCTTACACTCATAAGAATACAACAACTTTTTCATTTTTTTTAAAACTTCCGAAAGCAAACTATTAGTCTGTTGTTAACTGTCATATCATATATTTCGACTAAATCCAATAAAATCTAATAGAAATCCAACTTGAATTGATAATAATATGTATATATTTGATTATAAAAGACAGAATTTGGGAAACTCTTTGTAATATATGTGTGCATTTGTGACAAGAAGAAGCATATCAATAAGAAAAAGACAATTAAAAGGTAGTGTTTCTTTTTTATTTTCGCAGAATGTACAAATCATAGGATAAGCTGTTCAATGGAAATAGAGGGTTATTTGAACTGAACCTGAAATTTTTAAAACAAAAAAAGTATGTAATTAAGCAAACAAGCGTTCTCTATATGATCACAAATCTTGGACAAACATACCTTATATACCCCAAGAATGTGATCAATTACTTGAGATCAGTTGCTTAGCTAATGGATTCATACACAAAATCACATTTTGTCCCTCTCATAAATAAGAATGCGTATATACTACTTTAACACTTAAGTCAACGACATATGTACTATTCTTCGCTTTTTCCCCAATTCAACTGCTTGACATCGTTACTGAGTCTCATAATAATCGTAGCATACATAATCAAGTTCAATACATACAAGCATAGAAACAACAACGGAAAGAATACTAAGCTGAAGCATCTGATTGAATTTAATGGTTTAATACTCTACTAATAGCCATTTACCAAAAAATGAATAACACTTTGGAATCCTAAATCATTGGTCTCCAATTCAAACAGTTATGTACAAGTGATTAGGAATGGTCTTACATAACATATAGTCACAATTCAGCGGATGATATTGAATAGAAGAAGATAATCGAGATATTTATCGTATGCTAATTTTTCTTGTTCAAAACGAACGTAAACAATACAAATCAACAAGATATCGATCCGGGCATCAGAAAATAGCTTCAATTGAGTAGGATATATTTTTTAGCTGTTAAAAGGGATTTATTCATTTCACAAGAAAGAATAATCATTTCAGGGTTTTATCTGGTAGGCAAGAATTTTTTTTCTACGGGACGGAGTTGCCGACCCCCTCCCTTATCTGGGCTTGGGACCAGCAGTAACCCTAGAAGATGTACAGGTGGATTTTATAATAGAATGTTATTAGTAGTAATTTTTTCCCTCTATATTTTCAGATTTTTCTACTAAGCATAGTTTACATCCTTACTTTGACATAACTGATTGTAGGATTGTAATTACTTAGTTTTTAATTACCCTGTTGTACGCAGCGAGTAAGAGATGTTTTAAAACGTTTATTAAACATAATGATCGTATGACTAAACTAAATTGTGTAAAGAACGACGGCTGGGGGGGGGAAGATAGTGACAAATGAAATAGAAAAGTTATAAGAGAAAAAAAGGTTAACTAAAGAAAACTATTTACATTTTTTTTATCCTGAAGGAGAAGCTTGAATAGTTGTAGCTGTATGAGATAAACTTGAATTGGAAACAGAAGTTGTTGAATTAGTTGTATTTTTTAATTTTCGAATTTCTTTTGTAGCCCAAACTGCTAAATTTTTAGTTCGAGATGCTTTAGCACGTCTGCCTCTTTGTAAAACCGAAGCGATTCCATCAACTTCCACAAGTGATAAAATACTACTACCATAAGCAGATACAAGATCACTACAGAAATGAATAAAATACAACATTTATTGAAATGAAATAAAAAAAGAAGTATTTTCGAAATAGGCATTTGAAATACCGAAACTATTATTTGTTTACTGATTTGGAATACCGTAAAACCTACTACTTACGAGTCTTTAATTCTGGTTTAAACTACCCAATTGAGTTTATCATGCTTTTGTGTGTGGGCTGAGATACTGCCCGGGTGCCCAAACCAAAGCAGGTGGCTTTCTGAGGGGGCCACATCCCGATCCTTCGACCTGAAGGTTTAACCCACAAGGCATTGGAGCATCGTGAGGAGATGCAGTCCCATGGTAGCCGGTGACCAAGGAATTGGTTCATACGCCATTTGTTCCCGCAAGAGACTGGAGCCCATGTGCACCACTGATTTGGTTTGGGATCCGGTTAAAGCGCCGGACATTCGCTTTTCGTCCTCCCATTTTCGTAAACAATACCCTAGCCACGAGAAAGCAGTGAGTAGAACTTCCCTGGCAGAGGCTGTATACGCATGGCCGTGTGAGAGTATTTCGAGAGGGAGGGCGAACTCAATTGAGTACCATATTGTTATCACTTACTGTGTTTGATCACTTAGCTTTTCGAAGATAAGTAGAAACATTTCTTCATTTGAACTGCATTTAATGAGTGCGCAGACAGACAGCGTCCAAATGACTGTATGCTATACTTTACTGGAACTGCGACTATCTATATCTTGAACAGATAAGGTAGCTTTTCTTAATTGTGACCCTAAATGACTCAAGGTTAATTCTACGAGAAAGTATAAGAACCATATGGATTAGTAATCTTTTCAAAACACAGATTTAGGGATGTTTGAATATTGATATTATTTGTTGTGAACACTGATGTATCCAATAATTGTTACAACCAATATCACAACATTGGTCAACGTCGATTCAACCGACCGATCAAATGCCATGAAATACGTTAGATACTATATTTATCTGCTGTATACCTAAACAAAGTAATCAGAGTTTTGTATGGTACGATTAAATAAGTGTAGAATATAGAGCATGTAAGTATAAACCCTATTTTGAAAAAAAGAGAACATTGTATTTTAGAGACAGATGGAGAAATTCACGAATAGATAATATTGTAACGATATAATGAGCTATATTTATGAGATAGGTATTATCAGTTTACTTCAATGCAATAAAAACATATTCTAAATAATGTTTGTTGGATAGATAAGGTTTAAGGTAGCGTTTGTAACTATTCTTGGTGAAATAAAATGGTACTCAGTTTAATCAGTTTTTTTCAGTTTTGGCAACAAGATCAGCTACTATTTTAACTCCTCTTCATATGTTACATAAGGTACCAACTAATTGCATCTAGGATAATGTACATGACGTCATAAGTTTTTCATTCATGAATTAAAGTGTAACCGTCTAAAGAAATCCCATTCATTATGTTAAATGGTCAAATAAATAATTTCACAACTCTACGGAACATTATAGGTGATAATAATTGAACTACGTTGTGAAAATGACAGTCCTTACCTATGTACACAGTATAATCTACAACAAAGTTGACTCACCCGATCAGTCCACATGAAGCAGATATAAGATCTTCAGTTGTGATCGAATCTGCTCCAATATGTTGGATAAATGACAATATGTGAGATACATGACCAGCGACAAATTCCAAAGCTGCAGTAGATTCTAAAATGAGAGATAAATTAAAAAAAAAACCATTAAAGAAATGCCATCTACTATTCCAAAATATCTTTTTTCTGGAAACAATTCAGCATCATGTATTATAAACAACTTACGTGGTCCATCTCCCTTAAGACCTTGGATAATACCGGTATAAGCCTCCAAGCAACTAGTACGCAAGGAATTGAGATATTCAACCATATCAGGATCCTCCTAAAATAAGTAAAATGTACAATTCATTGAAAAGTAACAAACATATGATGTACATCAAAATACTTAATAAATGTATTTAACAATTCAAATGATGCATTCAATACACAGGTTAACGCTAAAAGATATAATAATGAGTATGTAGGCAATATAACCAACGTTATGCCTGATAATTTCAGAGAAACGATTTACACGAGTTTGCGAAACGTCAAAAATTTAGTTTGCTACTCATTATGATCTGGCAAATATATAAATTTATTATTACCAAAATGTATGTAATGCTATTTTCTGTTAAATTATTTAAATAGAATCTCAAAAACACATTAATAATACAGTAACAATTGAATCACAATGATAATGCCTTGCACAATCCATAAGAATATATACTGAGCTTTGACACATTGTGTAAACTAACGATACTAACACGCTAACCGAACAGAATTAGGCAAAATGCAGTTCGCATTTGCGATCTAACAATTGAAAGTCGAGTATCTTATAACCAGTCAGTCAGCTACAATGTAGGACTAGGCACATATATGCATCGGTTCAAGTTGCCATATTTCAATTAACACAACAAGATGAACACCAGATTCATAGAGGAAGTTAATTCAATGGTGGTAATATATGAAAGAAAGCATATAAAGATATCTTATAACCATAAAATCATTGGTATTAACTAATGATATATACTTTTAAAACAAAATAAGGCGACAGCTACAAAATACATACTATTCAATAATAAATTAAGTACATAAACTTTCAAACAGAACATACTAAATTGACTTCAGCTTGTGTGGCTTGACTCAACGTTTCTAAGACAATAGGAAGATATTTCCAGAACTCTGAACCCAAAGCTAAAGAGAGATCACCAAAAGTAGACAAAATAGCAGGACGAAGAGATTTGTGTGCATTTATATCCTATAGTAAAAAAAACATACAAAATAAATATGTAAAATCTATATTGTAAAGCTTAATTACATAAGTATGATATAATAGGAAATGTAATAGACTCACTTGGTGTTGTTTTACTTGTATGTTCCCATTGTTATTTAGGACTACAATTGATCAGTGTATCCTGTGCGGATTGCCTCAATATAGCCTTAAGTCGAAAGCTTTTTAAGCAAACAAGTAAAACATCAAGTGAATTTAATCTTTATTTCATTGCGCAAGCAAATGGCTATCAGGGTTCAGTAGCTAAGTGGAAAACGCAATGGCGTTTAAAGTGAACGGTACCGGGTTCAAGTCCCAGAGTGGATATCAACTTCGTAAATGCAGGTATATCCAGTTGACGAGTCCCAAATAGGACAAAACGCCAGTCCTGGATTCCACTGCTAGCCACTATCCATTTTTGCTTAACATGTAATAGACGTCAATTAAAACTATCAAACATATCATGAAACTATTTGATGATTTAATTGTCAACCGAACAACGTCATTTATGTAAAAAAAAATTACATCTATAGTTTCTATATTTTTAATTAAAAAAAAAGTATTTTACCGACAACAAATAGTTTTAGTTCATACTGAAACTACATTAAATAATCTTAAATAATTAAACAGCATTTTTTCCCTGAATACTTAATGCGGGGGTAATATCATAAAAGAATGTTAAACTATAAGTGAAATATCAATAGTTGAGATCATGAATCAATTGAAGCTAAACATTCATGGAGAACCTGGAAGCATTGGATGGACGTTTCATCCCACTGTGGGACCCCTCAGCAGTGAGCATCAACGAGTCACAAAGTAGGACGAAACGGCCGTCTAGGGTTTCCAGGTTTTCTATGGTGGTCTAGCTTCAATTGACTCATGATCTCAACCATTAAAATTACTATAATATCCACAAAACCCCTTCTCAATCAGTCAGCTACAACGAAGGACCAGGCACATATGTGAATCGGTCCAGGTTGTCATACCTCATTAGCACAGCAAGATGAACACCGGATACATAGGAGTGGTTAGGTCAAAGGTGGTAATATATAGGAGAAAGATTGCAATAAGGATATAGTACAGGAAGAAAGAAGGGTATGAAGTGATTTTAATCTCTTAGTTTAAGGGAAAACAGAGAGTGTATACACCGACGCCATTGTGATCGATTCTGAGCCATTTCACCAAGAGTCTCCAACCATTGGTTACGATAGTCACGCGGACCCCAAACAAGTAGTCTGCATCTAGCAACATGGCTCAGACTAGAGGTTAGTGTCTTCAAGCACTGATGCCACGTTTTGGTTTGGCCACCCCTAGCTTTATTCCAACCATCCCGAACACCGGTTAGCATTGCACGTCGTGGTAATCGGTGTTCGGGCATACGTAACACGTGGCCCAACCATCTCAGTCGATGGAGATTCACAACCTCATCAACTGACTTACCATCATTCCCTAATACCCTGTGTCGGACCTCACTATTACTTACCCGGTGATCCCAACAGACGCCAGCAATATTTCTAAGGCATCTGTGGTCAAATACGCCGATAAGTATGCTTATGTTCTAGAACCTGACAGATGGTGAATATGTGGTCGATGCAGCCACGACCAGGTCTGAAGCCACCTTGATTCTCTTGTGTTTGCAGTTCACGAGTCTTAGTTAGGCGTTTGATTATTATTGAGGCTAGTATTTTAGATACTATATTAGTTAAACTAATCTCTCTGTGGTTGTCGCAGGATGATTTTGACCCTTTCTTATATATTGGGACGATAAGTGATTGCGACCAGTCAGATGGAATAACGTCTAATTCCCAGATCTTAGCTAAAATATTAGTCAACCTAATCGCTAAAATTGGACCACCATCCTTAAAGACCTCTGGAGCTAATCCATTTGGACCAACTGCTCTTCCTCGTTTCAGATTAACTATAGCCTTCTCAACTTCAGTAAGAGTTGGGGACCTACTTCAATGTTCCATTCACATTGTCTGGAAATGAAGAGTAGTTGTAGAGTAGCTGAAGGCCAGTTGAACTGTTCTCTAAAATGTTCCGCCCATCGTTCTAAACGCCTGGACTGGGAGCAGATGAGAGTATCGTCTTTTTCCGAAATAATCTCACTTACACTTGACTTATTAATTCCAGTTTCTTTTATTAGTCGCCGCCTTTTCCATCTCTTTTGCTTTCGTTACCCACCACTGCTCACGGTCGTACCTTAGACTTTTTCTTAACCTAGATCTGATTTCTTTACGCTCTTCATCATGTTCAGAACCTGATGGGACGATTTTTCTCGAGAATCCATCAGTGTGATAGACCTTGAAGAAATCCACTGGTTCTTTTTAACTTTGTGGTTCAAGTCTCTAATAGATGTCACTGCTGTTTCCACAGCTGATTGTACGCCTTTCCAAGCAACATCTGGTTCAACCTCGTCTTCAGAACTACCTAAGTGTGACCTCAGTTGTTCCTGGAACCTACTTTGGTTTTCTCGTTACTCAACTCAGTTCTAACGGGACTTTTTAAAGTGGCTGTTTTGCGTCCAGTGAGGCGCAAGCAGATGTGTGCTCGTATTAGGGCGTGGTCGGAGTCCAAGCAGGTACTCCAGAATGAGCGACAATCTTGTACCGACCCTCTCCAACGATGACTGATGGCAATATGGTCTATTCGAGTCCATCGTTGGTTTGGTGTAGGGGGTCGCCATGTTAGACGATGTCTCTTCTTATGCTTAAAATTTGTGTTTGCTAGAAATAAACGATTGTCTGAACATAGTTGCAACAGACGATCATTATTATCTGTTCGCTGTGTCGGATTACTAAAATATAAGTGAAATAATCAAACTGAATTGTTTAAAAAGTTGACAATATTTAATGATAATAATAACTATTAGTATTGATTGAAAACCCCGTGAGCACATACGCTACACTACATACTTTAATCCTATGATTTAAACTCAATGTAAAGTGAGAAGCAGTGATACATGTCAAGAGTAATAGTTAGGACAATGAAATTAATTCATTATTAAAACCACTGAACATAGATACGTAACAGAAACTCATTACTATATACTATATACGCCAGATTGGTTTGACAGGTTATCATATGACCCTGGAGTAGCAATAACAAAAGATTTTATTTTAAGTACATAAAGTAAATGTCACTAAAACATGCCCCACATAATATAGCTAACATTATAACAGAGGAAGTACACTTACAGAGAATGAAGACAAAATAATAACCCGTAAGCATTGGACGGCCGTTTCGTTTTAATATGGGACTCCTTATCAATATGCACTAACGATAGGACACGCAAGACTCGGACACAGAACCTCTGCTTCCGTGCGCGAACGCTTCACCTTAATCAATCAATGGCGTTGCGCGTCCATCTTCATTTGTCTTCGGTGGGTACCTGCCTTACAACCTGCATTATTTACCTACACTGGTCACGGCTTTTCACTAGAACTCCGAGAACTCCCCCTTTGAAGCCAGTCACCAGTGAGTACATCCTAAGACAAAACAGTCATCTAGTGCCTTCAGGTTTTTAATAATAGTCTATTATTTATTTATTTATTTCAACACATAGATAATGGTACAAAGAGGCACCAAATACATATGCGCCACACAAATCTCATTCGATATGTGTGAGGGCTGTGATACTGCCCGGGTGCCCAAACCGGAGCAGGTGGTTTTCTTAGGGGGCCACTCCCCGAGCCTTCGACCTGAAGGTCTGATCCACAAGGCAGTGGAGCATCGTGAGGAGATGCAGTCCCATGGAAGCCGGTGACCAACAATTGGTTCATTCGCCATTTGTTCCCGCAGGATACTGGTGCCCATGTGCACCATTGGTTTGGAATCCGGTTAAAGCGCCGGACATTCGCTTTTCGTCCTCTCATTTTCGTAAACAACACCCCCGCCACGAGAAGGCAGTGAGTAGGACTTCCCTGGCAGAGGCTATATACGCGTGGCCGTGTGAGAGTATTTCGAGAGGGAGAGCGGACTCTCCCCACTCTCAGCCGTACCAGGGCATTTGGGGGCTAATAATAGTCTAATGTAGATCAGTTTATGATTTCAATGAAATTCAACGATTTGCACAACCCCATACTGAGAAAATAATAAACATAACTAACAGCAAGTGTATAATAGAACAGTCCAGTTGATACAAACGAGACAATTTTACATTTACGAAGAATGTAATAGAAAAAACCCACTGATTTCTGTTCCGAGCAATGTTGGATTAAATTTGAAGCCACTGAGCTATATTATCTCTCGGACTCCTACCAGATAGCTGTGATGAACAGACAGATGCCAGTACTACACTGCTTTCTTGAATAACATGATAATACCACAAAATGACCACCTCTCCGATCTTTCCACTCTGTCCCAGAGTCTGCAATGAATATAAGGAAGTCGCTGGGATGATATTCGTAACACACGTACAAACCACTAAAGGCGGTGTTTCAAGATAGTGACAAAATTTGTATTACCCCCGCTATGCCCGAACACACGTTGTCGAGCCTCAACATTACTAACATGGTGTTGTCGCTGAATGTTAGCAATCCTTCGGAAACAACGACGATCAATAAAAGATTCGCTTTAACGTCCTCAACTCAGAGGCCAGCTTTCACAAATATAGAGATAGTCATTTTCTCACCGATGTCCTGTAGATCCAACATTTTATAGCCAAACTAATATCATGAAGGCGCCAAACATGACTCACATTGGCATAAGCTATTCTGACTTTTACTATAAGTGAGTGCATCACTCATATAGCCACCAGCACTTACACAGCTACCCAAATACACAAACTTCTCGACCACTTCTAACTGCTCACTACAAAGTGTTTGTAAAGCAGGACATACGTAGAGTACCAGTTTATTAGTCTTCCAGTCAGAAGTGAAGATCAGACAACATAACACTGGTTAATACCCATTAACCGTGTAAACAACTCAGTTCTACATTAGGTCGGTCACAACTCGAGTAACTGAATGATAACATTTTTAATTATGATACTTGTTGATGTCGGTTGGAGTGTTTTTAAAAATTGATGACCCAATTAGCGAGTGTCAACTAGCAAGAAACCCTGGTTTTTGAGTTTCTGATGATCGCCCCCGATCACAAAGTGTTAATATGAATAGATGATCTTATCTTATTCGATGAAGAGAACTTTAAACAAATGGATATGAAATGTAACGTCAAAGTAAGCATCCACGAATAGCCACCTGATATCAAGATTTGATCCAACTATGATTATCATCACTTAGTCGGTGAAACCTTTCTGATAAATAAGAAAGTTAACCAACTTGTGGATTAGAGGAAGTATATAATATTGTTTTGCAAAGGAGTATACATCGTACATATACAAAACCCACTATCGAAAATGAAAGATTAGATTATTCTATATTTGACAGAAATCATAACGTACTTGTAAAATTTCCATCAGAATGGTGATAAGACCATCACAGTGTGGGAGTAAGTTCTTGTTCAAAACACGACACATATCTCCTAACAGTCCAACTGCATTCATACAAACTTGTGTTTCTCTATGATTTCGTAAACAAATTACCAAAATTGGCATGAAATCATTCACATATTTGACAAACGACTCTCCAACAGCTTCAACAAGCGCAGATACTGCAAGTAATGCATCTTCTTGCACACCATCACTGAATTTAGTCTTATCTGTTTCACCGTTGATCACAGATTGGTCACCAGAGCCTTCAGTAACCGGTGTAGTAGTGGTTCGGAACATGGACATGAGGGCTAACATTACCTTGACAAAGAAATGTTTCAACAAGATCAAAGAATGCTCTTACACTTCTAAAGACTAAGCACCAGAAAACATAGCATAAACAAATAATTCCTAGTCATATGGATTAAGAGCTAGTTCTAGAGAAAAGTACTATTGAAATGGGAAAATCTCCAATTCACGTGTATTTTTATATCAGGGCACCTGGGTAGTATCACAGCCCACACACAAATCAAGTGACGTGTGTGGCACATATGTATTCGGTGTCCCTTTGTACCAATATTTATGTGTTCAAATAAATAAATACATAACAGGGACCGAGACGCGTATACTTTTCCTCCGAAATCCCTAAAGTGACAGGTCAAAAATTATCGTATTTATGCGAATGTATCCATGCTAAATCGTGCAGTATATCCTAACCTTTTACTATTTCATATCTTTTTCAAATATCAACTTGTTAGTACCTTGAGAACTGTATTTTCTATGCGTGGTTTTCTTTTAATATCACTGATATTATTACATCGAATACTTTGATCTTCACTTCATAGAATTATTTTAGATATACACATCCTGGTTGTCTTTACCTAAAATTGGAGAATAATTCAACTACTCGACTGTAAGATATGATGTAACAAAGGAAAAAACAAAACATGCAGACTGGTGGGAACAATGAATGGAAACTTACTTTATCTGATATTACAGGTGCATCCTCTTTACTTATCTTTCTCAAAACAGATTGTAAAGTGCCGCATAAAAGTGACTGTAGGTCGTTAAATTGTGCTCTATCTTGATGTGAAACAATTTGATGTTCCAAACCAATGATTGACTCTAGTCGTTCAAGAACAATCAGTGTTACACGTTGTACTTCACAATAACAATCTTGAGCTGCAGATCGCATAAGCGCCATCAAGGCTGAGTACGCTGCATTACGAAGATTATGCTGTCCACCATCTGGTCGACTGGAAGTTGCTAGTAGACGTTCTGTGATCACATTGAAGTATTGAGATAGTATATAGGTCCTCGGTTCCCCATTATGACCGGAATTTTCTGAAAGAACCAAATGATGAGATAGTTAGGAAAAGATACTTAAAACTTGTTAGTTTAATCAAGCGTTTTGAAAATTCTGCTTTATCGAACTAATATTTTCCGGAAAGCTGGGTTATATGAGTGGCAACTATTTATTAATTACGGGATGAGGTTATCTGTAACACGCTTTATAAGTATTCGATGGATCAGGTTACGTCATTCACAGAAATTGCCTGTTTAAAATGAATTGTCACTTTAAAGAAATCGGCAGTGGCACCAGACTTTTAGTTAACCTGTGTGTTTTGGCCAGTATTACTATCTGAAGACCCAATTAAAATCGAGCAAGGGTGATCTGAATCAGTGTTTAAACTACTCATTTACAATTTTCCCTTAATTAGCAAGACAAAAGTTAAGCAATTGGTCTACAAGGTTACACTTACCTACTGTTTCCAAGGTTGACTGGGAACATTAAAATTTTAAAGGCTTGATAGCCTTTGAAGTATTAACAAACATTGGAGATAGATGACCATTAATGAATAAAACGAGATCTAAAATAATCGAACACTGGATTTACAAGAATGCGCGGGTATTTTGATAATATACAGAGAAATCTTGGTATTCGATTAACTTCGACTGATCAAATGATATTTGTCAATTTGAGATATGAAACGCAGAGCCTGGTACGTATGTGAGTTAGTTGAAGTGTCCACACTATTTTAGTACAGCGAATATTCGAACACTTTAAGAAGTGAGTTCAGGTTTAAAACAGTATACTCAAATCTTTCGTAAGAACATGAGAAGCATTTCTGGTAAAAAAACAAGCCTTAAACAATGAAATATAAGCATATACGCTATAACTGACACATAAAACTTTCGTTTCTAAAACTAACAGTAAGATGGGAATCTTTGATTTTAAGAATCTGGATATCTGAAAATTTATTAAATCTCTCACGCAGTATTCCAAAGTCAATCTATGAAGTTTTGTACAGTACGTTCAGGCCACAAACTGTGTGGATTATTTCTGAGCTAACTATTAAATTTACGAATGTGATTGCCATCTACTCCTCAAATAAAGTTAGTATGGGTGTGGTTTTTGTAATTTGTTTTTACTATATGTTAACTGTGAATATCTATTTCGTCATTAATAAACGTAATTCATCCACAGAAAATATCACTAATTCAATATCATACAATATCGATAGAGAATAATCCGCTTATATTCGAATAATATCAACATTGTGAGTAAATTTAGAATATTACTATATCTCATTGTTACATGAGGATGATTTGAAACTAAGTTGATCAGAGTAAAAAAATTTTCTACCTGAGGCGGCATCATAAGCACTTTCAGCCAGACTAGAAAATGCCCAACAAATGTTAGCTGCAACTCTTGGTTCAGTGGACAATCCTTCAACTAATCCGGTCAACAAAGGAACCAAATATGCTTCGTGTAGAGCAACTTCTGGAAGGGTTTCACAAACACGTCCGATAGTCCAAGCAACTGTATCACGAACAGCTGGTGACTCGTCACGCAACAATTCGATTATTACAGGCATAGCAGACTCTACTAGGGGCTAAAAAAAAATCGAAAATCCCTGATCAACTATTGTCAAGGAGGTAAAATACACGTAACTTATTCTTAAGATGGATATTTTCTATGTCGGCCATAAGTCACGCAATTTCCGAATCCAAGAAGATTTGGACTTTTTGATAAGAAGCCGAGTAACTTAACAGCAATTAATATCAAGAGACATTCAATAATCAAACAGATTGACGGTTAGTTATGGTATCATAAAAGTTTCTCAAAGAGGAACGCATGAAAAATATCTACAGCCAACAGAAGTATAACATGTATAGAATATAATCATAAACAAGATTGAAAAGTTTGTTTTCATTAATAGGAAGAAACAAGTACCCATTAACTGACGTACATTTCATGCAAAGTTCTGAAAACTTGAGAATTTACTGGATCCACATAACGAGGCAGCACATCATTTACACTGACGACAGAATTGACCACAATATCATAACAGTTATGTTACGTGGTGAACTACATTATATACTTTTAGATCGGCGAAACACGCTGAAGCATGTTTACGCACTGTGTTTACCTTAGAAAACTCATTAGTGTCTGGCGACTCGACTTACCGTCACAAAACCAGCCCTGGAAATCAGGAAAATAATTCTTCCAGGTGTAAAACACTTTGGAATTAATATTGCTTACTAACTAACGCAATCACTCCACTCTTACGCGAACCAAAGATACAACAGCGAAAGACAAATTCAATGGGAACACGAACCATCGGTTAAACGACACGATATGCTAACATTGATATCAATGGGTACATACAACTATGGAGAACTTGACTCGGAGAACGCCGAAAATCTGGATCGTGCGAATTCTAAGCGTCAGTTTTTTGACACCATGACATTCCGATAAATTAGCAATTGGACATATAGATTCAAACATGACCTACTAACTCATTCAAAAAAGGTCAAGCGATAACTTGGTTAAAGGTTATTCGAACAAAATAGGCAACTTGAGTACAAAGACACCTGAAGACAATAAAGCACATGGGGATAGCCAATCACAATTAAAGGCCATCAAAACAAAATAACTTAAGACTCGTTGAATAACTAAGAAACTCAGTTTTACTTGAAGTAGGCACTTACGGTGTTGTCCAGAATGACAACAAAAGTTCCGCAATTGAACCATCTAGTTTAAAGTACTTAGCAACAGCAAGAACACAAAGTGATTAGTGAAATCCTAATAGTTAGATTTTATGTATAAGTTGAATAAGCAAATGTGACAAGTGAACAAGCTAAATGTTCAGTTACCCTATTTTGGATATTATTGCCGGGGATGAGGAAAAAAGTACATTGGCGCCATAATATGAGACAATCCGTCGTTTAACGACATATCGCGGCGAGCTGAGAGGTGAAAAAACTTAGCATTACTTACTTTCTTAAATTATATATTTCTAAAGGTTTCTATATACAAACTAAGGTGAGTTGGTTTGCTAAAAGGCTTAACCAAATTAAACTAGGTAATGACTGCACTCGAGTTTTAATATAAGATTCGTACACAATGCTTTAAATAATTGCAAGTAAACCAACTTAGATGACAAAACTATGAATAAAAAGAAATGAACCTTGAGTGCTGCAGGATCTGGACCTTCAAGAATACTGCCGAAGCTCATGACGGCAGCATCTCTGTAGCGCCAGTCAGGTTTCTTAATATTCTCCTTTACAAATGGTATGACAAGATTGACAATCGGATCTTCGCAACATTGTGCCAGTAGCATTAAACACACACCAGAGGCTTTACTTGGATTCCACTCGTCATCATCCATTGATTCATCTTGCTGGGCAAGAATTTCCATCAGGATTGGTACAATAAATTGCAGGGCTCCCTTGGCATAAAACATGCTAGAAACCGCTGGAGGTTGACCTTTCTCAAAGCACTCGGCAACGTCAATAGCTAGGTCGATCTCTTCATCACAAACTGTAGACCAGAACTCGATTCCCTGAAGAGCGACTTCCGGTACAGAATCTTTCATAGCTCCCAACGTAATCTAGCAATGTTGAAAACATTTTGGAAAAAGCTGATAAAATGATTATGACAGTAGATACACTAAGTGAAATCAATTCGAAATTAAAACATATAGAACCAAGCTAAAAATGGACCTAAAGTGGTATGTTCTAGATAACAAAACAAAACTACCACTAAAGTTCGTAAACATGTTTAAGAAACTAGGGAATGATAGCAACTTTGTTATCCAACCATATCCTGAACTCAAACACATTACCAGGGCCTTAAAATTAACTACATTATACTGACTGGACAACAGTAGATAGTGAAGTTCCAACCTATTAAGTAGCAGTTACAAGATTAATCCTTATGTGTTTAATACTTAACGAATCGCTGGATTTGAGTTGGAGTTTAAAATACTTCTTTGATTCCAGTGCATTTGAGAGTTTAATATTTTGATGATTGGTTAACGGTCTTTAAGGTGAATAATTTCCGAAATCTAAATATTACTTTGGTAGGTAAATTGTATACGGAAATAGTAAATAATATCTACATCAGAAGACAGAGATTTCGAACACAATTTTTGATGTACCAAGGAATAATATTTCTATTTCTGAAAGATGGAAATACGAAATCACTTTTGTTACGATGACAGTATAGCTTTATCATCAGTCAACTTTAAGTACACAGAAACTATAATAAAACACGAGCTAAACCATAAGTCTTAGTTTTATATTTATTACAAAACTAATGGGACCGTGACTGAGTGGTTAAGATCTTTGACTTTTAACCAATAGGTCGCGAACTTAAGCTTCGATCCATTTTTGCTTGGGCAACCAAGAAGTATCAGTAGCTCTCAAACTACAGTTTAGAGCTAAGTATATGAGACTGCACTTGCTGGACCAACTATAAGATGGGTAGAACTTTTTAACAGAATATGTAAATTTAATTTACGTGAAAGCTCGTAGTGAAAACCCAAAATCGTGAGAAGATATGCTAACAAGAGTAGATATTGATAGACGATAAGGTGATCATTCAATATAGCATCAGCACTGCAATGACTAAGACAGGTCCACCAACCGAGAAAAAAGTTGACTACGTGGATAATCATGGGCGACAGTAGGCTGCTTTTGTTGTTTATGCAATCTCAGTACACTAGTTTGTGACTTTAGAATTTGATATAGACTGTGGTTAGGTGTGATCAAACGAATACGGGTTGCATAAGTAAGGATTCAACTTTTATGTTCATTAGTTGAAAATATAGGGCATGGTTCTTAGTTAAGTTATAAACATTAACTTACGGCAAATAACGCTTGTTTCATATACGGCTCCATATAACTATAGTAAAGGGACATTATTTTTACTAAACACTGAAGAGCTGCAACACGGATCTGAGGATTTGGCGACTGAGTTGATTCGCAAACAACTTGCATAATGTAGTTTCGCTCATTCTAAGACAAAATTAAATAATCAAGCACCAAATTACATCAACATCGAAATTGTGTTTTGTAAACTCCAAAGAATTCAGAAGTGCATTTGTCGCTGCCAAACGTACGCTGTCACTGAAACAAGAGTTATGGAGCTCAAATCCACATACCTTGGTTCTTCTTTTTTCATACCGCAAACTATGGCAGTTAAAATAGCGTTTGACTGGCTAGCTAAAATACAAGGATCCTGTCGGAACTATACAAATACACTGGTCTTACTATATCTTGGCAAATGTATCCTATTCCTTCTAATGTTGAACGCTTGCATGCTTCTGATTTGTTTGGTGTGATCACGTTTTCCACCAATCGCTCCATCAGATCTGGCCACTGAAGTGCAGGAATTTCTGCACATGCAATGTAAGCCACACATTGTGCAGCAGAACTATGTGTCGTAGTTTCTGTTCCTAAGGCGGCAAGACACTGAGGGAAGGTCATAAATACTGTGGGGACGTACGTTTTTTTTTATATACTCCCGTGACTCCACTGGAGCCTGTAACCACCGTTGTTGATAAAGTGTTTTGAGCGCCGGGTCTTTGGAGTATAGGGCGTTTTTTAGCTGAATACCAGCTTGCATACGTACAGGAGGAGAACACTCGACGTTAACCAAAACATCACTGAGTTGTCTGAGCAAACCAAAAAGGTCTACTTTGGCTGCTTCCTCGAGAAAGTGCTGAGCCGCTTCGAGCTCCGACTTTTCTAAGAGATTCAGAAAACAATAGATTCCATTGTACGTCTAGTCTTACCTAAGGAAAGACTTTTTTCCAAAACGGAAAACAACCCAACGTCCAGAGACATATTGGGAGAAGAGCGTGTCCCCGAGATTTGAAAACCAGCCTCTCAAGTAGCCGCGCTATGTTCCGATTTTCCAATGTTAGGTCAATTCAAACGACTCCATAATGGAATGATTTACTGGAAGGATAATGCAAAATCAAACCACAACGTTTCTAAGCAATGAAAGCGGACTACATCTGCCAGTATAATGACTTCAGGACGAAACCATATACCCAAGGAAGACCTCACTACATTCGATAATTATACTAATCAGTCATTAAGTTTTCTCATCTTAGACAGTCCAGGTGGTTAAACACAGCACAGCAGGGATTTATTCCTATTGATTTTCGTACTTTTAACTGCAATTAATCTAAAGTGACAAAAAGCAAAGACCTGAGTATGTGGATAAGTTGAAGTGATAGGAATCTTAGCTAATTTGTATGAAATTCTATTTTGAGTCCTTGAGAATCTATCTTAATAAATCTTGGGGAGCGATTGAAATCTAACATGGAACACTTCAGCCTGTAAAGAACTTCAGAATGTCTATGTTGTTACACTTATATCTGCGATTCAGTCCTCAGTAGTAAGGATAGGTCAATCGGCCTATATTAATCCTTGAAATTTGTGGTACTGTAAAGACCCAATCACCCTTTGAATATATAAACAGAAGACTCTTATATTACGTATTCTGTTGGAGAGTCTCATTATTTCGCCACTCAATGCGAGGAATGGGGGTCGTAAAAGCCTTTGGTGCAGCAATCATTGAATTACTCGTAGGTTTTAGATTGTTGTTCAATTTGACTCCTTATTGTCCATTACTTTAGGCAACACCATTCCGCTAATTATGTAGCTATATGAATCATCATAGTTATTCGTATCACTACACTTTTGTTAAAATAGGCTTCTAACAACCAATTGGATCTGCCGGAGCTATTAAAATCCCAGGATGAATAGTGTCAAAACCACTTGACTTATCTGGTTTAAGATGTCGAAGTAACCGCAGTGCAGGTCCCTTCTTAATAATCACAGGATCCATCAACAAGCCGCCGTTATCACGATTAATTGTTGGCGCTTCGCCACCGTCGATGGAAAACACCCTACTAAAATGTCCTGTTAAGTCTCCGTGTTTTGTAATCATCATTTTTCGCCAATATCAACGAATAGTCTTGCACCAGAAGCGGCGGGATTTCATCAGTTCTCTGAGTTTGTCTCTTCATATGCGAAAACAACCTTAACGGATGGTTTTTACAATTCCTAACCAATTGTTTCTCGGATAAATGCCCATCTTCTATGACTAACGCTCATGTTAGGTTAAATGCATCATGATTTATTGACCACTATTCAAATAAACATTCACACCACTTCATAGTTGACATTTGGTTTAATTGGTTTCGAAATTATTTTCTTGGAAGAGATTCGAACAAGTAAAGTAATAAAACAGTACATGTCTATGAACGTCCTAAAGTTCATTATGAAATAGTCTTCGAGTCAAGACTTATCCGTTAAATGTGGACGTATTTTTGAAATTTTTATCAGAATACTTCTAAAAGTAGTTTATCTTTGTCATTTAAAGTGGAAAATGAAATGCCTTCACCCTTACATGAAGCTAAGTAGAACTATCAAAGTCAGAGGAAACGGCTTGCCATCAAACTGATCAAAATAGGTGTTTCAAGGTGACCGATGCAATGATGTATCGGAAGGCATCTTTGTCGTGTTTAATGAGGGATTTAAGACTTAAGTAAACAAGCCAGCTTACTTTTTTCTTTAAACCATTCTTGATGTATCAGAACCAAGACTGAGGGACTGTTAATCCTGGAACCATTTTGTGGATCATTAGTACAATATTTAGTTGCTAATTTTATAACTAATAAACAATTGAGTTACTTTGTTCTTATTTTCTGTTTGTTGTAAGGTTTCATTCGATTCAGAAATTAATGTTGTGGGTCCAGTTATTTATAGTTTATTGCCAGTCGTATATTTCAAGCTTTCTGAGTTCACAACCACTTTCGAATCTACTCGCGCATAACAACGCTTACATATGTCATCATGTGACACTTTACAGTATGCCTTTACACTAAGTACCTGTGTTTGAAAAAATGTAGCGGAAACGTGGCTGATGACTTCGCAACAACTTAAGGTGGTTGATTAATAATTGTTCAAAAACACTATGGTAGTGTCGAAACATTGCAGCCCAAGTGTTTGTTAAATCCATCATTTTTCGTAGGCATTATATTTCTTGCCATCCTATATTAAATGTTGAAATTGTGTGCCCGAAAATAGAACCTCGTGCCCTAGCTGCTAAGTACTAGGATACACTCGCGGAATTTCCAAAGTTAACCAAATCACACCTTCATCATTCCAAACGTAAACTAACAGTAACCCATCCAATCGAAACTGAGGGGGCATATGTGGTTTCTAGACTCAGTAAACTAGCACCAGATAGGCCTGAAGTTGACAGAGCTGGATTCAACCATATCCTCAATTTGGATTTTGTCTGTCCCTCTACTAGCCAACGTGTACTCCCCCGATACATGCTCTCAAAAAAATTAAGGCAATTGACGACCGTGAGGGAATTACAGGTCCCCCAACCACCAAACTGAATAAGATAGGTACCCAATTCACCAAATCCAAAATTTAAAAACGGGTTACAAGGTATGACACCATTAGACAGTAACACATAACAAGTTCTCCTACACAACCTTCGTAGAATCATACCTGGTTGTACAAAACTAATGAGACCACTGACAGATTTCCTTAAGGGAAAACTGTTTAAACTGACTTCCAAGGCTGATGAGGCTATTAAAATATTAAAAGATAAAATTGCTCAAGCGTCTAAGTTAACGTATCCGAATTCTTATTACCCACTCGCTTTGACAGTAGATGCTTCAGAGAAGCAGTAGATGGTATTGTTGTTCAACTGATCGAAAACGACAGATGACAGACTGGGTTCTTCTCAAAAAGACCAACTGCATCATAGACTAGATATGCTACCTTCTGACGAGAAATTCTCTCAATCTACTTAACCATTAGGCGTTGACGGCACATACTGGAAGGCAGAGAGTTCATAGTTTACGCAGATCATAAACCACTAACCAATGCATTAAAAACTGAAGCCGACAAATATTCTCCTTTAGAGACTCGACACCTCGACTATATATAGCTAATCACCAGTGATATCCGACATGCGAATAGCCAGGACAATCATTCAACAGATGCACCATCTCAATCACAAATGAACGGAATCGAACAATCAACCGTAAATTTCAGTTATCTATTTACATGCAATGAGAAATTCACGAGGTTTCCGATAGCCATGCGAATAACCAAAATCATAGCTGAAACAGTAGCCAAAGCTTTCATGAAGAACTGAGTAACTTGTTCTCGTACGCTTGTTACAATAATGACCGATTTAGCAGCCGACTTTTCATCTATGCTATTCAACAATTTGTCAAAACGTCTTGGTTCTAAAAAAATACTTTGCACAGCTTATGGTCCATAGGCAAATAGAATGGCAGAGCTTTTCTGTTATCAGTTAAAACTGCCCTAATACCACACTTAAATCCACAGAATTCTTAAGATTAGTTATCTTATGAATAAGATCAGCTGTCGATACTGTTTCACAGTGTTCTGCAGCAGAATTAGTCTTTGGAATGACGACAAAGCGATTTTATCAATCCTTGTATTGATGTTATAACTTGTGAACCTGTGTACACTGTTTATTGTATAACGCAATGATACCGCCAATCAGAGAACAGCAAATTATCGATCAAACCAGAGACGCATAAAACACGTGCGAGCAGCCTAGAGTCCTTATTGGTCTCGCTTCCTGTCTAGCTCAGCCATCTGAGTCCTGAACACATATCTCAGCCCCTGCAATGTGAATAATCTATTACAAACATACGGGGTTTATATTACCAATCAAACAGACCACAACATACAATAAAATAGAAAACAACATTTGTACAATATTTGGCGAAATGTGGCTGTGAATGAGGGAGGTAGTGATTAATAGACAGGGGCTAATTCAAGAATGGTAAACCGTATAATAAAAGTTCATAGGTCAAAATAAAACTCATGATAAGGGGGACATGAATATAAATAGTTTAGTTACATATCAATTACACGATAGAAATATACTCGCAGTATTGGTCCATAAATAGATCCCAAAAATTACCATTCATTATTTTATCGGGATATAACAATTGAATGCGAGAAGCTTGACGTAATAAGTTACGTGGACCAATTAGGTGACCGAATGTCATAACTTAAACCGGTTAGTACTTGTGAACGGTCACGAGTGACAAATTTACTAATGGACATTTGCAATCGCATGCACATCGAGATAAGGTGTTACAACGTAAGAACAACACTTGCCCCTCTATTCGGAGGTTCATATAAAGTCATCACAAGAAAATCTAAATATTTCGTGATCGAAAACAGGGAAACACTAACCCAGTAAGTATTGATATGCTTAAATTCTTTTATCTGGATAGTGAACCATTGTATGATTTATTAGGCCGTTTAGATTACGAAATAATTACAGAATTGACGAGCAGCAACAAGAACTCCTCACATGTGAACAAAACGTTTGGTGAGCAGAATCGATCATTCTGCCGAGGATATCAACAGTTCTGGTCAAATTCATAAATTCAACTAAATATATACTAAATTTTGGTTTGCTAAGTTTTTGTGCGTGTACTTAAATAATGAAAACAACAAGGAAAGCGTTTTTACTTACTTTATACCATTCTTTCCAAAAAAGACAAACACAGTACCAAAATCGCAGTAGTTGTGTATGAGAAAAAATCAAAGAAAACCTTTTTGAAATTAGTTTTGTTATTATTTGTGAAAAAATGTCTATTTTAACTTTGCCCCACAAGTGATATCTTAACTGCCCCCCTCTAATCTTTTACTTTTGGTGCAAGAGTGTTTTATTAGTTTTGCACTAAATACATAAACGAGTTACCCCTTAACTAACCAATGAGAAACATAAGTCGTGAACACCATTACAGCGAGCTGAATTACAAAGAATTGAATAGTTTTCGACTGCTATTATCAGTACATTCTT